CCTAGTAGGAACATTGGCTTTCTCCTTGGCATCATAAGCCAACGAATTATCGGCCATCTGCAGGGGTGGATGGGATTAGCTACAGCAGCAGCTACAGGTCTTGGCCTACTATACCGCCCTCGCCAGACCGGTTAGTATAGGGTTTGTTTCCAGTTTTCCTTCTCTCTGCAGTGTTGTTGTCCGACGTAGTTTGTTCCCTTAGTCAGCTCTTACGACACCCACGGGATGAGTAGGGGTGGTGACACTGCACCAGGGACTTCCTTTCTAGGGTATACCTGGTTCCCCGGCTATTAGTACCCGAGACGGCGTGCGGTTTTAGTCTGTTCGAGTCCTACATGCCACCGATAGGTGATATCCGAGGGGATTTCCGCACGGAAAAAAAAAGGGGGTGGTGACACTTCCTATTCTTAATCCGTCACCACACAGACAGCTCTTATTAAGACATCCGGCTTCGTGTATAATACACCTCAGCCTATTTCTTAGAGTAAGTAAAACAAATTAAGTAAATTTAAATTAATCTTGGTATAACTTCTAGTTTCCATAACATTGGGATATGAAGATTATGGTATATTGCTGAAGTAAAAAGTTATTTTGGGATAAAAGTTTATTGCCAATACGGTGGAGCTACCGATAAAAAATAATATAAAGCAAGCAGAATAATTATTTATGATCATAAACTTACAACGATAATTTCACCATGAACATCACTATGCTGTTTCATGACTAATTCAAGAGTTGTATATTTGCTTTTGAAGTTATCCAGATAAAAAAAATATCAGTTTTCAAAATATAATTACTAAGTAACTAGACTTGTTAGCGGGGATGGGGCTACACAATATCTTGTAGGTACTTAAATGATACGAGTTCGACCGTCAATGCAGATTTTCCTTCGATTCCTGCTTCTACTAGGTTTTTGGAATATATTTTTTCAGTACTTAGTATTTAAATTCATAATGGATATAATAATACCTTTATTATATTTACCAAACAAAGAATTGAAGTACAATGGTTTGTCTTATTTTTTAGTTAGCATACCAGCTAGATAATTAAATTATCTGTATTAAGGAGTAGCAATCCCTATCCGTCCTATAATAAAGTTGAAGTGTATAGTACACATTATTTCTAACATCAAATTGTTTCGAATATCGTGCTACGTCTAAATATCGCAAATCTAAGGAACTTGCATATGTGTGTGCGTGTATGTATGTGTACGTATGAGCGTTCTGTGTATGTATGTAAAAATGTATGTCTTTGAACATGTACCTAGTAAGGTAATAATAATAATCTATCTTAAGGGACAAGAATACCTTCCCTTTGTATAATAAAATTGAAGTGTATAGTATAGTATACATTACCACTTATATCAAATGAATTTGAGTATCGTGCTACAACATCTAAATATCGTAAATCTAAAGATCTTGCGTGTGTGGGTGTGTGCGTGTATTTATGTGTAAGTATGTATGTAGATATGTAAAAATGTATGTCTGAACATGTTACAAATACTATTCAATACCTATACTTCTGTTATATTAGGTTAACCTAATGTAAGTTTTTTTCTGAAGAATTAAAGTTGCAGTTCTTTTAAAATCTACTACGATAGCTTTTGAATTGGTCACATTGCGCTTATTTTGTTATACACTGATGGACCTAGGAAATAAAAGAAGCGTCTGCCAAGAGGTGCGTCTAGTACGTACGGTGTGGTATAACTACTCTGTGTCCAATTTCAAGTAGAAAACATAAAAAATAATTAAAAAATAATAAATTTTATTTAAAAAACAATTAATAGTCTCTTAATAAAAAGCTAAACTCATAACTAAAACAAGGTTACTTATGGATAGGCAACTAGAAAATACCTCAACCCCCATAAAAAAACGATTTGAACATTGCTTAAGCTACTCCCCCTGCAACAATTATCTTTCCTGTGTTTTTAGGGTTCCGAAGTCCTAACAAGGAACCCTTAGTTTCGCCATGTCCGTCACGTCAGTCTTTTAGTCCGTCCACGTTTTGCTTAGACGTTGTTAGTGCTAGAAAGCTGAAATTTTACATATATTTACAGGGTTACTGGGTAAGTCGCACTAGATATTTTACGGGGTTTTAGCACCCATAATTTCTAATGATTTTTTTATTAAAATACCATATCCCAAACCTAACCATTTTCAAGATATTGGACTAAGATTTTTTTATAAAAATTGCCGAAATTTTGCATAATATAACTTTTTTTAAACTGCTTCATATTTTAAATGTTTTTGTGTAGTTTTTTATAATTTCAATAACTAAAATTGTAGTTAACTTAACAAATTAAATAGTTTGTAATTGTGTTTCGGGTTAGGGTTCGTTGAATTGGAATATTAAACTTTTTGACGACTGAAGACACTTTATTATCACTACACTCAAAAACTTTCAACAACACTAAAGAATAGTCCGAAATAATCGAACTTCCAATCCCTACGAGAACCGTCCGCTTCTGAGACATGCAAATTCGTTTCGAATGTAAACAAGCTAATCGCGCGACAATCTATTTTCGATCTTATGAGTGTTGATATAAAACTTAAAGGTAAGGTACTTAACGGTTAAAAGAATTTTCTGGAATGTCCCTGATAATAGCAAAAAAAATATTATTTTTACAAATTCTAAAAAAACAATCTATCACAGTTAAGATGCAGATTTGTTAAAAAAACATGTACGTATTGTGAGCTATCTAATAAGGTATAACAGTCTAGGATAGTATCAGAATTCATAGAACAAAACTTAGATGAAAGGAGTATTAAGAATCGGCGTACTTAGGGCATACTGAAAGTTTCTGGATTCTGATAAATGAGACTAGATATAAGAACTAGACAGAAGACTAGACTTACAATACATGTAATGTCCTGATTTGCCGAAAAGAGAAGCAACTGTTTTTTTACCAATGCTTCGACTTTTCTTAACTTTCGTCGGCAAATCACCAAAGGTAAAGCCCACTCTGCCGACTGTCTTTTTCTTGCGGGTTCAAAGCAGTACAACCAGGTATCGTCACCTGTCACGATATTGTAGACAGCAAATGACTGTCCTCCGTTAAACTTCTTTAACATTTTACGGCACCACTGGACACGCAGTCGATTCTGGTCCTCTGTTAAGTCAATCGGTATCCATCGAATGCAAAGCTTCCAAACCTCCAGATGCACATGGAAAATGTTTTGCATTTAGCTCATTCCAATGCCTAACAAAACAAGAATTTGCTGGCAAATATTATAAATTGTCAGTTTCAATAAGTTGTCGTACGGTGTCAATATTAGAGTCTGTGAGCGCAGTCCGCGACCGACCTTCACGTACCTCGTCATGGCGATGATCACGTCCACGTCTTAATTCTCCAAACCACGAATAGGCAGAGCTGCGACATGGTGTTTCATCACCAAATGACTTAAGCCACAACGAATATCATAAAAAAAACATTGAACGAAAATAGTTAAATTCATTTTGATATCGAAAGGACGTCACAATGAAAAAACAAGTGACAGTCTCGCAAATTAAAAAGTAACCTGTTCCCAAAGACTTCCATTTTCGAATTCCATTTTTTTTTTCATTCTTTTATTATAAGTAGCCATATTCAGAGACTTTCAGTAAGTCCCACGTACAACCTGATAGTACCTAGTTGAAAACTTGGCTTGTATTTTTTTACTCTTTCGTTTTCTATCTGTGACTAACTTTGATTCGTTGAGTTTGAATGTGTAGATGGGAATTACAAACAACTTGATTGGATCTTTTTTCCTCTCCGAGAACAGTACGAAATCTCTTAGGTACAAAATTTACTAACTTACTTGATACTCATCAAGTAAGTTAGTAAATTTCCACTTAATCTCATTCGCGACATGTAGTTTTAGCATAATGAATGCCGTGCGCGTTACAGGAGAAGTGTAAAAGCATGGCTGGATTCTAATTATCGTAAGAAGTGGATTGTAAGAGGTGTTGGAGTGAGTCGTACACTTACGTATTGGGAGTATCCGTAACAAATTAGAATATCAGCATATTCCTCAATCGTATAGGTCGTCTTCAAGAGTATCCGAAGCACAAATCAAAGTCCAGTTAGCAATAATTAATAACGAACAGAAAAGAAAACAGTCCAAAAATTCAAGCTTAGTTTTTTACTAGGCTTCACCAGGTTATATGCTCGTTCTTAATACTCTCCGTCATCCATCTAATTTTTTTCCCACGAGTTCTGATACTATCCTAGACTATTATACCTTGTTAGATAACTGATAATACGTACAATGACATGTTTTTAACACATCTGCCATTTAACTATCATTTATTTTTTAATATTGGTCAAAGAAAAAACATTTTTTATAAAACAATGTTTAACTACACAAAAACACTGAAAAAAAAAAATAAAGATATATAACTTCTAAAAAATTTGTATTAGGCAAAATTTCCACGATTTTTACAAAAAATCTTAAAAGTTCAACATTTTGAAAATGGCTAGGTTTGGGATATGGTATTTCATACTGAAATCTATTCGTTATAATGGATATAACAACTCCCTAAAGTATCTAGGTCGACTTACCCAGTAACCTTGTATTATACATACACTGTGTAGTCCAATTTTATTAGCATTATGTGAAGCCGAATAAGTTTCAAATTTCAAATCAAAAGAAAATGATATGATAATATAGATGTATATGTTATTTGCTTAAAACGGGTAGTAATAAGATACGGAACCCACACAACATGTGAAATCACTTGGCCTGTGTGTTCTATGTTATAAAGACAGTCTTAGTAAAATTAGGTAAACTAGGAAATAAATAAATAAATAAATCAACAGAAGACTACAAAATGATTATGTATCAACATACATTTCACACCTTCAAGCGAGCCAGACTATGTCATTATTTATGTACTTATATTTTTATAGTAGAAATATCATAATGAGTAACATTTGTTGTTTCAATGTATCAGCACATTCGACTATTTCGTCGATATCGACTGTTTCTTCGTACTGAAATGTAATATGATAAATACGCTTTTTACAAACTGCTGGACGGTGGAGCTATGTACTGCCATTTATATTCTCCATCAATGGTGCAGCACTTTATTTTATTCTCTTTGGTCAATTTTATCAGATGATGATTAACATTGTATGCAGCTGCGTTCTTTAAATATTCTGGAACCGTCTTATATATTAATGTTACTAGGTCCATTTCATTAAGTTGTTTATCAGAATGTACCTTTAAAGTATCAAGTATCTGGTTTTCCCGTTCATTTCTGTGGTCAATGTTATATTTTATTGTCACTGCTGGGTCCTGAAATTATATAGCATTTGGACAATTAAAAAATTAAACAAGTCATTTTAGCTTGCATGGGTTTGTTTGAATGGCAAATACTTTCATTCTAGTTTCTAGGGCTTTATGTGCTTTATGCAATAAAGAGATTATTCACACAAGAGTTCCCTAAAAGCGGCCTTTTTGCATTAGAATTTCATCTTTGCATTTTTTGTATAGAAGACATTAAAATTACCTAATTAGCTTTCACACCCATCGCTCGTTTTTGGGTATGTTCCTCTTAAAATACTTAATTACTTATTTACATAATATCAGACAAATACATACCTCTATAATATTTCCATGCCCTGGGTAAATTGCATCTGGTTTTAAATCTAATATTTTATTCAAACTGTCCATATAGGCACACAAGTCTTCAAAGACACATGTTCCTTCACCCAGTATGCAATCTCCACTAAAGAGTATATTTTCTTCTAATAATGTAAGGGCTACATGATCCGATGTATGGCCAGGAGTATGGTGGATCTTGACAGTGGCTCCCTCTACTTCAATTTCTTGGCCATCTGAAAGCCATTCTATTGTTATATCCTCATTTAGTTGAATCTTTGCATCACCATCTGCACTCCTTCTATGCTTCCATACCTTTGGTTGATCTGTAAAAGAATAACACAAATCAATCAGAGTTATGTAAGTTGGTGAGATCTCTTCATCAACCACGAAATGATCTTTACAAATTATAGCTAAAAACCGCCTCGATTACGTCAGCTTTCAAACAAAAAAAAACGGCATCATGATCAGTCCATTTCTTTAAGAGATGTCGATGTCACAGACAGACTCATGTACACAGACATCTTGAGAATTTGTTTCAGAGCAAGGAGCAAAAAAACCTGTGACACTAACAAATATACACAATGATAGGAAGGCTTAACAACATAAGGTAAGATTTAAATCTAAGAGAATTATTAAATAAAATATACTATAATTATACAGCTACAATTGGGCCATTATGCTTTTAAGGCTGCTGCACACATTGGGCCAAGGTGTACCAACGTGGGTATGCTGTTTGCTGAGTGCGCCATGATACTTTGATGTGTGCACGAAAAACCGACACTAATCGGTTGGCCGACCAGTGTTGTCGCCAACTACCAACATACAAGTGGATCTCCAGATGTTGTTCCGATATGCATATCAACAGCCTTTACTAGTCCACACTACCATGCCGGGCAGACCTCTTTGCAGTGCTGTTGTACTGCATAGTTTGCTCCCTTATAGTCGGCTCTTACGAGACCCACGGGCTGAATAGGGGTGGTGACACTCCGTATTCTTAACCCCACAGCTAGACATGATTATTTTGTAATATATATAATGTTTTGACACATCTCACACATGGCCATCTGATCCCAAACTAGTCAGAATCTGTATTATGGTGACGAGACTTGTGATAAACATACCCATATCACAAAATATCGAGCTCATTGTATAATTATTATTTGTCTTGGGTTGGTACTGAACCCACTATCTCTGGCTTAGCAGTCAAGATTGTTTATCACTTTACTAACTAACAAGCCAGTAATGTAATTGTTGAGACAATATGCTAATATACTTTATTTAATGTACAAGGTGTCTCAAAAGAAAGTTTATATTTATTTAGCTTACTGCGTGAACGCAACGAGTCCGAGGGGCACGGGGGTTATGTCAATCGGTAGCCTGGCTCTTGGGAATTCAGTTGCTATGGAGCGTTTCTCGGGAGCAGACCGTACGTTGTGCGTGCGAGAGTTTTACAAAAACGGTGATTCGGCGACTGTAGCGCGTAGAAGGTTCTGTAGTGTTCGAGGTTTTCGCCATTTAAATGATGCGCCAAGCATTCCTCTTATTCGAAAATGGGTCAAAAAGTTTGAAGAGACCGGTACAACGCTGGAAAAACCAAAATCCGGGCGACCAAGGTCATCAAGAACGGTAGAAAACGGGGCGAGTGTTAATCAGTCTGTTCGTGACGACCCGAACCTTTCAATTCGGAAGCGCGCAAGTGCTTTAAATGTGCATAGATCATCATTACACCGCATTTTGCACAAAGAGCTAAATCTGCACCCCTACAAAATTCAATTGGTGCAAGAATTAAAGCCCCAAGATGCCAGTCAGAGGCTTGACTTCGTAAATCAGGCGATTGAGCGCTTTTCAACGTTTACCAACATCTTGTTTTCGGATGAAGCTCATTTTCATGTTAATGGACACGTAAATAAGCAGAATTGCCTAAAGCGAAAGTATGGGCGGCGATGTCGGCGCGAGGAATTATCGGCCCTTACTTTTTTGAAGACGAAAGGGGGCGTGCAGTTACAGTGAATTCAGAGCGTTATGTGGAGATGTTAAACGACTTCTTGGCGCCTGAACTGCAAAACTTGCCTGGCCATAACTAAAGAACATGGTTCCAGCAGGACGGAGCAACGTCACACACGTCCAATACGTCTCTGCCACGAGTTAGTGAAATTTTCTCAGGAAAATTGATCTCCAGGAGAGGTGACATAAATTGGCCTCCACGCAGTCCTGATTTAACCCCTATGGACTTTTTTCTATGGGGTTATCTTAAATCTAAAGTTTACGCGAATAAACCGACTTCCCTGGAGCATTTGAAAGAAAATATCCGTCACGAAATGGCAGCCATCACTGAGTTCACCTGCCGAGCCGTCATAAGTAATTTTACTGTTCGATTAAATGAGTGCTGCGAACGCGAGGGTCTACATTTGGAGGATATTATTTTTAAGAAATAAATGCCCAAATTGTGTACTTTAATAATTAATAAACATTTTTTCGATACACTGCTTACTTTTTTTTAAATCGATCTACTAAATATAAACTATCTTTTGAGACACCTTGTATTACGTAGATTTTAGCGCAGTATTCTCTATGCACAAAATAACGCATGTAGAAAAAGGTCCAATGTCTCATATCACTTTTATCTAATCAGTTTAATATTGACTATGCCTGTGTTCCGAAGTGATTAATATTTTTTTTCATGAATTTAAAACCTCTGTATCTTGGATATGTTTAATAACCGTAATCTTAATCCGTCAATACACCGATAATTTTTTGTACAAACAAATAAAGCAAATAATATATTCTTACTGGCAATTGTCCCATATATATCTTCAACTCCACCAAGATGATCATTATGCCAATGTGTGACAACTATGTGTTCTATATCAACTTGTTCAGAGTGCACAACGTCTGCTAAGTTATTTAGATACTCCGGTACATTCTTTTCACCAGCATCAATGAGTATACGCCTGTAAAACAGGTGTTACATAAGTAGGGTATTACTATGCAATAAAACGGGTTTGATTCATTGTCATGTCATCATTCTCTGAGCCATTTCCTAACTATATTAGGGTCAGCTGTGACTTTATGCATGAGGATGATATGGGTGAATATTTTTTTTTTATGTGAGCTGACTCCTATTAGATGTCCTCAACCTAACTACTGGGCAATATTGAGGTTCTGTAAATAGACTGTTGTCTGGCTTTTATTTTAATTATGGGCTTTATCTACCCGGTCTACCCCTAAAATTATCATGTCAATTGTCATAAATATATAGGTATTTATGGGTTTATGACAATTCAATGTACCTAGCCAAAATAATCTCATAAGAGACAAGTGGATTTATTATATGAACTGATCTTCCAATCTACTTCTGATTAATATTTCATTGCAAGTTTCAAGAGAGTTTATTTTCTCCTGGGATTACCTGAGTGTTATTACTCGGTTCGTGGGTCTTCTAGAAGGTTTAAACCCATTTATTTCCTCTCACAGGGTTTTATTCAGTGTTTATTGATTTACTGTTTTAATAACCATACATTTTAATATCATGTACTCTTTTCTACTCTCATATCTATTTATTAAATTCTTACCTGAAATTGGCTATAGAGGATGGCCGATACTCGGTAACTGATGACAGCAATGACACACTTACAAGCCATAGCTGATATTAGCCGTATTTTTTGTCTTTCCCAAAATACAAAATGGGAAATACAAATCTCTTTGTATATAAATTTATTTTAATAAAAAAATCTATTTGGTTCCTTCAGGAACTCTATTGTTCACAATAGAGTTCATTCAGGGCATTCAGACGGAGACAAAAGAAACAAGCATTAAATAAATATTGATCCTCCACATTTCTTGAAATAGATTGAAAAGTAAGCTACGGAGCTGCACGGATCTGTCTTATTATTGGTAGATTGTAAAATGCTAAACCTTTGTGTAATCTATTCGAAAGGCAATATTTGTCACATTAGATGTCCTAAGTGATAGAGTCCATAAAAGCTTGTTTTAATATTTTAACCCAATGGATTTGTCGAAACCCTCTGCCCATATTATATAGTCACTGCTGTTGATATTGATGTATGTACAGGAGTTACAGTAGTGGGTGTGTGGGAGGTATTAGCCCCATTAAAAAATTAAGGGAAAGTGTAATGATTGTGTTATAAGGATATTTCGACATGTTATGTTATGAGACTCAATATAAATAAATTAAAGACCTTAAATTATCACTAGCTCTTTAACGCAAAATATGAGCTTAAAAATATTGCCTAAGATTTTTGCTTGCACAGTTTTAGTAGACAGTATGATTGTTATCCATAGCAGAATATCTTAGGGATCATCTGCGGGCTCACTGGTGTACCTTGTTTAAACATGAGGTCAACTCCTTGGCTGCCGTTAGAGATAACATTCAGAGACAGATTGCATATTTAAACAGGATGACCAATCGTCGTTAGCATATGAATGCTGTAAGTTACAGGGATTTACATGAAAAGAGCTACTGCAGCAGTAAGTCGTTTCAGTTTTAGTGGATTCACTTATCTGTTAGATATGTTAGAAAAAATGAACACTTACTTTCGTCCCGTACCCAGCAAATATGTATTAGTGCCTTGTAGTGTCATAGGGCTCGGATTACATCCTAGAATCCTTATTATTCGACTAGTTAGCCTTGTAACATCTGGGATAGCTCGCAGTATTTTCATAATGAAATCTAATATATAACAATGTCTGTACAAACGCCAATGTATTTTTTAAATCTTCTTTAAAACTTTAGAAATAAGTAGGTAGTAGGTAACCCCTACTGAGAGAATGAAAATTTGTGTACTTTTAAGTAATAGGTTTATGTTCACAGTGTTTATTTCATTACTAACGTCAGAAACTTACGTACTTTTCATTAGATTGCTACCGAATCGATCGATATTTTGACTTTGACCAGTGTTGGATTCTTAGTCAGATAGTAAATATACTCATACTACTATCTGACTAAGAATACCGACTAATGAGTATTATAATTTATATTTCACATCTCATCAACAGCCTTTAATAGTCCCCTGCTTGACATATACAGAGTGTCCCAGAAAGAATGGTTAATCCTGGAGCGCTTAATAGTACAGCTATCTGGCGTACAAAAAAAAAACAATTGGTGCCCAAATTATGAAGATTTAAAAAAAAAAATCTTTTTTGTTGTCCTTACTGTACTTACATGTACACCACGGCCGCAAATTAATAAATTTGTTGCGTTTTTGGCGTTATCTTATTTCTCACAGACAATCTTATTAGAAATGCAGTAAACTATTGTATGATGAGTAACTATTGTACTTTTTAGGAAAAAAATATCAACTTAAATTTTTAACATGAAATTTGATTAAAAAAAAATTATGACAAAGTTTGAGAGCCTTTTGTGAAAAAAAAATGTATGAAAACCTAAAGGGCCAACTATTTAAAAAAAAATGCGCAGTTAATGCAGTTTACAAAATGGTATAATACATTAACTTAAACCTTAAATTATTTTCAGAATAAGGTTTCTGAAAATAATTTAAAAGTCACTTTAAAGTGTAACTTTTCTTGAAAAAAACGATTTTTTTCTTTAGGAAGCCGCCATTTTGTCAAAAATCAAAATTTTGAATATTCCATCGATCATTCACCTGTATTCATCTATCCTAAAAAATAAATCTTATGTTTTTTTTTATTTCAGATAATTTGGATCAGAGATATCTTTCTCACCGCGAGACACCTTTTTGTGGAGGTCCTCTAGGAGATCTACTACAGGAACAACGGAACCCAATATTTTTGTATATACATTGCAAATTCTTAAAAAACAATAAATTTGTTATATGTACATTTATTCTATGTATTTATTTAATTGATTGAAACCTCCTTTCTAAGGAGAGGCCTATGTCCAGCAGTGGACTGTTAAAGGCTGTTGATGATGATTTATTTAATAAAAAGCCTATTCACTAAAAAATCACAAAGAAACACGTTTTTTCGGACTTACAAGTAGATATAACCCCTTAATACAAATTTAGTCATTTTGATAGGGTTACATAATTATTAACATCCTTTTATAAAATAATTGGAAATAAGAAATTTCATGAAACATTTTTTTTGTTCTTTAACTAGGTTGTACAGAAATCATACAATTGATTGAATACAGATTGATTTTCCTTCATTTAACTTGTTTGACAACTTAGATGTTAACTTAGATGCTATAGAAATAATGTACATTTGCGTGTATAGAAACCAAATTTGCGTGAACTGAACCACGATCTATATCACTCATTTATCTTTAGTCTTACTCGCTCATGAAACAAACATCTAGTGATCTAGAATTGAGTTACTGCTGTATTAGGCGCTAGTGTGAGTGAGTGATATATTTTGTCAGCGAGAATCCACACCAATATTATAAATACGAAAGTGTCCGTCTGTTACCACTTCACGTTTAAACCGCTGAACCGATTTAGATGAAAATTGGTATAGAGATAGTCCGAGTCCCGGGAAAGGACATAGAGTAGTTTTTATCCCAAAAATGTATGGGGAATCAATAACAGCTTAACCGATACCCGACGATACCCGAGATATAGCGATAACCGAAATTTACACGTGCGAGACCGCGGGCAAAAGCTGGTGATATATATCTTTTAGATCACTCTCTGAGAAGCTACACAACTTTAAAACAAACAATTTCAAACAAAATCTAATGTTTTAGAAGATTCGACAAGATCGGACTGCATGGAGCCGTCATAAACATAAACCAATAAAACCAACCAAGGTAGTTTTTAAGATTCATTCGATATACTCTTTGAGTAAAAGCATCGAAAACAAAGTACCAGTACAAAAGTATCGGTATCAAAAGGCAAAGTACTCGATACCACAAAGTATCAGTCATTTTTCGTGTTCTTAGTTAGTACTAGTTCCGAAGTTAGTTATCATCTGTGCATGCTTGTCAAGATTGACATATTCAGAAAAATGGCTGGTGCTCTGGCGAGAGTAATTCAGGGAACAAAGTCTCATTTAGGTATATATTTGGTCGTTTATGGAAACTCTTACTCAAAAATTTCGCATTATGATGATTTTCGTGTATTAAGATGTATAGGAATAAAGTTTGTGTTTTTGTACAATTTCGTATTAAGACTTACATAATTTTGACGTCTCGCTTTAGGCATTGTTGGCCCGTTGGCGAACATCAACAATGTGCCGAAACGCTTCCAAAACACCGAGGCTCCTCCAGCAAAGTCGCAGTACGGTCCTTTGTCCGATTGTGACAGGATTTTCACCAACTTGTATGGCAGACATGACTGGCGGTTGTCGGGAGCTCTCAAGAGAGGCGATTGGTACAAGACTAAGGAAATTCTTAACATGGGTTCAGACTGGATTATCGGTACGTGCTATTTCAACTACAAGAGCTTTAAATGAACTGCCACTAACTTAATCAGAAGGAGACCATTTTATACAACATTGTCTAAGTACTACTAAAAACTTCAACAGTAAAGATACAAACACTGTTTTGTATGTGTCATTACATCTGATTGAATTTTACCCTCAATGTTCTATTTGTTTATTTTCCTTTTTATGAGAAAATAACTGATAAAATAACATGCAGTTACAAAAAAAGGTGCTCAATTCGCCTATACTTTTAAGAAACCTTGAGAAAATTTAAATCTTGCATATTGAAGTGAAACCTTCTAGGTTTGTTTGTAGTTGTTTTTTTTTCGGGGATTTTGTTATTGCGTATCTGGAAACATATGGCAAATACAGAAAGAATGAACAATGAAAAGATTTAGTAATATTTTCTTGTTTTGCCTCTTTTAAAACATCAGAGATTGTTCAGTAGTGTCAGTACAATTATTTTTATCTATTTAATTGATGTTATAAATTAGGAATAATTCTATCAAAACTATTACAACGACTGACGAGTTGAAGTAATAAAACAAGAAGGCTTTTAACAAACGATATCATCAACAGCCTATAATAGTCCACTGCTGGACATAGAGCTCTCCCTAGATAATAAGTAATAAGTATAGCAATAAGTTTAATAAGGTTGTGTTCGGCTGTAGTATTCAAAAACATACTTTAGGTAGTGTCAATAAGTTATGATTTACTTTAAGATTAACTACTTGGTCCCACTATTTCAAAAAGTGACCTTATTCAAAAGATAAATAAAAATAAATAATATTGAACCACATTCACACAACGCCATCTAGTTCCAAACTAAGCAGAGCTTCTACTATGGGTACTAGACAACTGATATAAATACATATATAATTTTTTTTTGTTATGTAAATACATACTTATTATAAATAGAAACACCCAGACCACATCAAACATTAAATGTTCATGTACACAAATGTTTGATTTGAGCAGGAATCGAACCCGCAACCTTTGGGATAGCAGTCCGTTACACAAACCACTACGCCATTCGGTCGTCAAATGACAACACCTTAATAATATATACCATATCATTTTATATAACACCTAAATTCGCCATGAATACAGTAACTTGGTAACCTTTAACCTGTTATTAGTGAAAATATAAGTGTCTATATGAGGAGTAACGTAGGCTTTATCTCAGAAAAATTATTTAAAAGTTTACCCCGCCTGGGAATCGAACTAGAAATTTCACATGAAAAACGTTTTGGGTAACAGTTCTAGTTCATTATAAATAAAGGTACTAAATAAAAAAAAACTATTAACTTTAAAGAAGTTGTTCTAGATTCCATAATAAATTGCACTTCTTTGTTTATAAAATTGTTATCTATTTTCATTTAATAGATCCTAAATTATGATATAAATGTTGTATTTTGTTCAAATTAAATGATATTTGCTTTATTCAATAAATGTTATGACTAAATATTTATGTCTTAATTGGTATTCTCACAACGACATAAATATTCAGTAGTTACTCTTTGTGTGATGACTATGTTGATGATAGAAAATAGACCATGTAATAACGTGGTCTATTGTTTGTTACCATGAAAAAGTAATTACTTACAATAAGTAATATGTAAACAATCCATAATTTTAATTTAATCAGATTTAATAAATTATGCCAAGAAACCAGAAACAGACACAAATGAACACATACATTGGTGCATCCATACACATATACATTTTATTTCTATTATATCTTACACATTAAAATTATATTATCTAAGTTTTGAGTTGACTTTGTGAATAGAAATACTATGTTTAATCATTGACAACATATAAGTAGGAATATTTATAATTTTGAACTTAATCAACCAAGCTTTATTTTTATAGTGCAAGCACATGAACTGCTGAAAGCAAATTTGTTATATTATATTATAAATAAATTATCCCGGTGACAATCCTCTGAAATGTAATCACATATAGTAAATAAAACCATCAAATTGTATGTCATGTATAAATTGATTTACAAAATATAAATTTTGAACCTCATTTAACATTTTCATCTTTATCATTTCTATAATACAGCAATAATTAGGTTCCAAAGACATCAAACTCATTGTTACTGTAGTTACTTGATGAATCTGTTTCACTGCCAGCAACATTAATAATGTGCTCGCACCAAATGTTCCATGCTTCTGTGATTTTTTTTTAAGAAATAAAAACAATATTCAAAAAATAAAAAACATATACCTATAGTATATTTAAATCGTAATGGTAATTATGTTTTAAAGTTACTCTTGCTGTTGAAAGGAACTGGTTTTATTTGCTTTTTGTTAATTGCTTTTAATAATTTTCCACAATGATAATTAATTCATAGATAACTTTTTTCGTGACTCAAGTTTCAAGAGTTTAATCAGATGCTACATATTTTTCTGAAATTTATCTTCCTTTTTTTCTATTTTCATCTATCATTACACATTATATCTAAGTAGTAATTCAGTGTAGTAATCAGTGCTGATGGTTGAAAGAGGTTAACTATAAACTTATACTTTATGCAGAGTATAAACTGATTGACCATTGCATCCTTACTTATTGAAAAAAAAAGTTTTACTTAAAAACTTCGATCAAATAAACTATAGATGCGCGATCACGGCTCGATAACGGCGCCAACTCAACGCGGCTTAAATTAGAAGTATGCACTGTTGCGCTTACAGCCACTTCGTAACCGCTTTGGTAGTATGACGTTCAACAATGCCAAAGTGTGCAGAAAAAAAAAATGCAAAAACTACACTGAAATGAAATGAAAAGCCTGGAGTGTCATATTTTCGGTAAAAATAACTTGCTCTTTACATTAATTTTCAATTGCGTATACCACGTATCTCTTCACTTTCGCGTACAGTGTCCGTTAGAACAAGACAGTGAAAGACTCCACTAAAAGATATGGAGTCGCCATTACTGTTTTGGAATATTAAAATAATATCATTTTTTATTAAGTAAAAAAAAACATTTATTCCTAAAAAGTTAAATAATTGTATTGTATAGGTTTTGGTGATCCCATTGCCCAGAAAGAGTATGTACTACATTCATTTAGTGAGAGCTGGAAATAACCTGTTGCATACTTTTTCATCACAGGGCTGAAATGAAGATGGAAATAATAAATTTAGCTCTTGAAAAATGACATTCAGTAAGAGTAAGAATAGTTTCCTTGACATTCGATGGATATAAAAGTAATCTTCTGACAATAAAATTATTAGGATGTAATAAGAAATAATATTAGCAATTTAAAAACTTATTTTAAACATTCGATCTCAGTGGTACTCTTAGATGTTTTTCATATGATCAAAATCATGCTTGCAATATACTTGTTTTTTTTTTTACCGATAACCAGAACAAAATTAGTAGTCACCTAAATAATTAGTTACTCTGTGATTTGAATAATTTTCAAGAAAAAAGGGTTGACACCCTTTGGGTATGGAACTCTAACTATTCATTATTAAGAAAAATATTTACATACGTGTCGACTCTACTAGCTTTCTATAACCTTAGCGCATTCAAGACGTACCAAGTAGGTACGTACAGCGAGAGATGCGACAACGACGCTGTACAATCTGTACATCTTTATACGTAAATATTCATTGTATAAACTTGTTTATATTCTAGATAGCATTATAAAGACATGTATTTATAAGTATAAATACATTCGAGTGACACGATTTGGCATTGTTTTGGTATTAGAGTGTGCATCTATAGGTTATTTGATCGAAGCTTAAAAATAAAATTTATTAATTGTTAGGTACTTGTACAAAATTTTTTAATCACATCATGTATGAAAATAACATTTCTTTTTGTTACATGGTTGATGATAAAGACCAGCATTATTTTGTTTTGTATTAAATATATTGTATCAAAATGTAATTATTTTATTAATATTGCCTGTTTGGGGAACATAGATGTTAGCTGGCTTTTATCACCGTAAATGTAAAATTGTTTGACATCATTCTTATCTCTTGAAAGAAATTAACATAAATATATCATTTATTTTACAGGTGAACTGAAAACTTCAGGTCTCCGTGGTCGCGGTGGAGCTGGTTTCCCTACAGGAATGAAATGGTCCTTCATGAACAAGCCGTCCGATGGTCGTCCGAAATACCTTGTAGTAAATGCTGATGAGGGAGAGCCAGGTACTTGTAAGGACCGTGAAATCATGAGACATGATCCTCATAAGCTCGTTGAGGGATGTCTTATCGCTGGACGAGCGATTGGAGCTCGCGCAGCTTATATCTATATCAGAGGAGAGTTCTATAATGAAGCTAGCAACTTGCAAGTTGCAATTGCAGAGGTGAGATAATTTAGAAAGTTATATCTTAATATAAAAATAAATAAATCTCTCAAGCTTATTGTGATGACTGAACGGATGGCGTAGTGGTTTAAGCGGTCACCACGCCGCTTCCTACTGGGATCCACTAATTGTCGTTTTGAGTCTGGGTGTTCTTTGTGTCCATTTCAGTACGTTTGTGACCGCAACACAGGATATATTCCTAGTGCTGGAGTTGTCTTTTTTTAAAGAAAAGAAAGTACGATTCTGTTTTGTATCGCATGCTCATTTGAATGACACCTAATATAGCAGTGAGCAACAAATAAATCAGTGATTGATTGATCCACTACAGTATCATGTTATAGGAACAGTTACCTTTCAAATCTCTCTCTTCAATATTTACAGGCATATCAAGCTGGTCTGCTCGGAAAAAATGCATGCTCGTCCGGCTATGATTTTGATGTGTTCGTACATCGCGGTGCAGGTGCTTACATTTGTGGTGAAGAAACCGCCCTCATCGAATCTATCGAGGGTAAGCAGGGCAAACCACGACTAAAGCCTCCATTCCCAGCTGATATTGGACTTTTTGGATGTCCAACTACCGTCAATAATGTGGAGACTATCGCCTGTTCACCGGTAATTTTACTTTATTTATATTATTTTGAACGTGACAGTACATTTTTGCAAAGAAATGAAGTTTGCTAGCGTTCAATCTTTACATAGTATAAAATAAAATCGCTTTTTTGCGTTGTACGCTTGTTGTGTCTTTTAAACTATTTTTTTTTGTTTTTACCAAAATAGAAAGTGATTCTAGAGTAAGGTTTATATGTAAAATACATGCATATTATAGTAGAAGCAATCCAAGAATTTCAAAGATTTGTTTTAAAAAACATGGTCCATTGCATACGCAGGCTAATCCTTACGAGACAGACCAAAATAGTGTATTACGGAATTGTATATCGTAAAAAGATGTATATTTTAGGGTAATTTCTATCTCTTAAGGATAACCCACAGTAACCATTTTTATCTTTTAAATATTACAAAAAATAATAGGTTATTTACGAAGCTATTTTAAACAATACATTATTATTTCTTATCCAATTAAATACGCTAGACACGTTTTGGATTTAATGTAGATTAAAATTGCTCTTTCGCATACATTACAATGAATATTTTAGAAGATGTTGGAGGTTAAAATGCGAAGCCCAACGACCGTCGAGCGTACATCCGTCGCCGGTGGCAGCGGCCGGTCGGATCTGAGCGGCCTATAAAGGATTGCATTTAAAAATGTTCAGTAGTGTAGTCCTAATATCTAAGTCCTAGTATAGTACTCTACACTAATACCACATTAGTAGTATCTACATTGCACCCAGGCGAAGCCAGGGCGAATCTCTAGTACTATATAATTATGTAAACGGGCATTAACGCGCTTACGATAAGCATTTACTAAGAATCGGCTTCCACCATCTCTTTCAATTCAGCGTTATTCACCTGCCTTCCACGTGTTTCGTTGTTCAAATCGAAGTTTCCATTTCCATTATAAAACGTTTAAACCAAAAACGCACGGTACGTTCATTAGCAGTCTCCTCTCAAGAGGCAGCGGATATTGCGAGCTGTTTCTGCCGCGCTAGTTTTGCGCCGGAACTCGTATTAAAAAATCTGCTGCGTCTAAGCTGAATAAAAAAGAAACAATTGGACGTAGAAAATGAATGTTGCACATTTTTTTAAAGAAGATCCTCATAGGTATACTGTCATAAAAGTTTTACACGAAAATCTCACACCATGAAGGTTTTATGTCAATTCAAAGTATATATTACTATACAATGGCAATTTCAGACTTTTATTATTTATGTATAATATTAATACTTTATTATGTGATCACAATCAAAAATTTTACATTTAAATAATCAGTTTCCAGAATATAAGTATGGTTAGTGTGATTATATTTTTTTTTTGTCTGAAACAATAATAATTATTTTTCAGACCATAGTTCGTCGCGGTGGCAGTTGGTTCGCTTCATTCGGCCGTACCCGTAACTCTGGCACCAAATTGTTCAACATCTCTGGACACGTGAACACACCTTGTACAGTTGAGGAAGAGATGAGCATACCGCTCAAGTATCTCATTGAGCGCCACGCTGGAGGAGTCATAGGAGGCTGGGAAAACCTACTTGCTATTATACCTGGAGGGTCTTCCACACCACTGATGCCTAAACAGTATGTAATATTACCTAGCTTTCGAATACATGAATATAAGGCTTACGTCTAGCATAACTAATCTGTCTGTAGTCTACTAGGTTCTTTGAACCCCCCGCGTGGACCCCTCAAAATAGTCTCTGCATTTGGTTGCCTGTAAAAGATCGCCTCGGAGCGACTTCGGAGGACTCGGGAGAATTTGTATTGTTTACAAAGCTAGATTTTAATTCTCAAATGTACAGAGTACAATGTCTATATGTTGAAGTTAAATCAAAATTTAATCATTATTCTCGCACCCCCGGGTTGGGGGTCTACTAGTAAGTGTCCATGGACCACCTAGGGGGTCCACATGGGGGTTCAAATGGGAAGAAGCGTCTACTGTTCAGAGTCTAGTTAGACTGCGTACTCCTGTATTTATAGAGTTAAGACACAGGTGTCTAATAAAAGTCAAGTTAAAAATTGACACAGGGAGCATTCAAAGTAATGTGTGTTTGAATTTCATGTTTGAGAAATTGATTCTGGCTCATGCACATCTACGTAGCAAGAATCGATTTATTTTTTCCACAAAAAAAAGGTATAGAAACCTAAATTAGACCAACAATTGTACCATAATTTCGCAGTGTGTGCGAGACAGCTATAATGGACTTCGACGGTCTGGTCGCATGTCAGTCGTCGCTGGGTACAGCGGCTATCATCGTGATGGACAAATCGACAGACATCGTGAAAGCTATCGCTCGCCTCATTATGTTTTACAAACACGAGTCGTGCGGACAGTGCACGCCTTGCCGCGAAGGTGTGTCGTGGATGAACAAGATTATGTACAGGTGAGTTCAGACATTGTGAAATGCCAAATAATAAATTTAGAAAAACCAATATGGCTAATCTAGCACACATAAACAGCATGTCCTGTGGGTTACTTATGCTTTGACCTTTCTACTTTCCTCGATTCTACTTACTAGATGAGATTAATTATAAAATATCTTGAAAACCAACCCCCCACTTTTTGACGATTAAATGATTTTTCTTTTTGAAGTTACAGAAAAATAGTTTTATTTTTTTGAGTTGAAAGATTCCGGTACATAGATACAAACATACAGGTCAAGCTAATAAAAGCGTGTTAAAAATGATAATGCTCTTGTACCTAACATATGTACCTTGTACTATGAAGGTTCTGTATGAAACTCGTGGCTCTATTTGTGTCCAATACTATCTACTTTCTTTCTGTAAGATAATATGATGTGTGATCATGTTTCGCCTCGCAGTTCATCTTAGCTAACTTCTTTACTTTATGACAGTTATAAAAATTGCATATTAATCACTTGCTATATACACACTTATTTTACATATTTTTTAAATTTACTTTGTGTGAATTTATGTTATGTAATTGGGTTAGATATACAGACAGCTTTTTTTAAAATAATTCGCGATATTTTACAATACAACTATTCTACACCTAATCTAATGAAGTACATAAGTAATATGTTCAAACCTGATTGTATACGATAAAAAAAATAACCACTTCTGTAGCTAGCCAAACTACAAAAGCGTACTAAAATTTATTTTTCCTTTTTTAGTATTTAATGATAATTATTATCTTATTAAGACCAAAAAAGTTACAATTAAGTTTATCACATAGCTTCAGCACATGCCTTGGTACGTGACAAAAGACACTACCGTATTTTTAGGTATGGAAAACGCCGTTAATCCTGAAGGTCCTGATCAGGATAATGGGACTATTTAAATTAATGCATTGTCATCGGTCCTTGATAACTGTGCAAAGTTTTAATTAAATTCGACGTTTTGAAGTGAGTCAAAATCACATTCGAAGATTCCGTCACATTTATACAAAAAAGCTAATAAAAGCGTGTTTTAAATGATTGTTTATTCTAATATATTTAATGATTGATTGATATATTAACTTTTTTATTGTAATAATAAAATATCTATAACCTTGTCTAAAAAACAATTGATTACTAGTAGTATATTAACTTTGATATTACTACATAATAATTATTATTTAATTTGTTTACCTTAGAAATGTTACAAAATATTGTTCAATGGATTGCATCCTGTGCAATAAAAATGTTGCCTTGACCTCGTAACGATTTCACACGTTGCTATGCTATGAATAGAGTGTCCTCAATAGCAATTGGAGGTCATTTATTACATGTGCTTAGTACAATGGAGACTGATATTGATCTCGGAACATTAAACACTTCAATTACCTATACAAATATGTTTAAATTGTAGTCAAACTAGTGCATACATGGGATTTATGTACTTATAATTGAGTCTTAATAGTCTTATTATAGGGTATGTGAACTGGATGTATATCCAGTCATATAATTATATCAATTGCTATTTATCCGTCCTGTTACTGGATTAATAAGATTACATAATAATGATTTGGTAATCCAATCATAAGTGAGTTAATTCTACTCATCCCCTGGGTGTCGTAAGAGGCGAGTAAGGGAGCTAACTACGCAGAACAACAGCACTGTAAGAAGAAGGAAAACTTAAGACAAACCCTATACCAACCCAAGGGCTAATGTGGTATAGTAGGACAAAACCTCCTTTCTAAAGAGAGGCCTATGTCCAGCAGTGGGCTGTTACAGGCTGTTGATGATTGATGATGAGTAGTAATCGAGCCTATGTCATCTAATGTTGCACGTCGATTATAAAGAAAGAATACATATATTTTTATTTATTTATTATATTATTTGTTTCAGATTTGTAGAAGGAAATGCGTCTGTTAAAGAAATAGATATGTTGTGGGAAATTTCCAAACAAATTGAAGGTGTGTATGTATGAATATCTATATCTATTAAAGAAGATACTGACAGAATTGATTCACTGACTGATTGATCAACGCATAGCTGAAACCCAGCGTCCCCTAGCAGCATGAAATTTTGCACAAATGTTCCGTAGGTGACGTAGGTGTGCACAAAGCAAAGGGTAACTGGGGCTTGGAAATTTTCATTCTTTTTTTAATAGCGTTTTCAAACCTAGAGTAAATGCTCTTTATTAAAAGAAACAAAAAACGCTGTTACTAATAATTTTTCAAATTACCCTTTTTTTTTTTTCCGTGCGGAGATCCCCTCGGATACCACCTTTCGGTGGCATGTCGGACTCGAACCGACTAAAACCGCACGCCGTCTCGGTTACTAATAGCCGGATAACCAGGTATACCCTAGAAAGGAAGTCCCTGGTGCCCCGACATACCACGGGCCATCTACAGACGAGTAGACGACCCCCCCCGTGTGGGAACCCCATGTTCCCCTGCTCCCTGGAAGCGAGCGCACTTCGCAACGCGCTCGCCGCCACCCCGGCCTGCTTCTGCTAGGGTGACAGATGGCCTCACCTGTCACCCCCAGGCCTGCGCTTATGGAGGACGGAGGTCGTTCTGCGACCTCCGGCGCCTGAGTCGCCTGCGGTACCTGGCCCGTTCCCAGGCCTGGCGGGCCGGGAGAATCCTAAACCTCTCCCGGTCCCACTCCGCCGTCTCCTTCGCGAGCATAACTTGCTCGCAGAAGGAGACGGCAGAGTTCCACGCACTCTCGCTCCGCACGATAGCCGCAATCAGGCTATCGAGCGAGAGAACTCGTACTCCGATGGCCGCCACGAGGTCTCGCCTCTGCTCAATCCACGCCGGGCACTCTGTTTCAATTTACCCTTAAAAAGGGGTGCAAGTTTGTACGGTGAACTATTTTCATTTTAACAATCGATTCTAAACTCTTAGTATAATTAAATTCTCTATCAAAAATACTAATAATTAAACACCTTTATCTTTTACTTTTTAAAATGTAGGTATGTTTGTTACTCAATCATGCCAAAACGATCTCTGGATTTGCATAAGATTTGGTTCATAGAAAATTTTATAATGTAGAATAGCCACCATTTATCCCGGCCAAATACATGGTCAAAATTGACATTTACGTGAACGCCGTGGGCAAAAACTAGTTCTTTTTATAAATAAACGAGTAAGTAAGAATCAATTAATGAATTTAGAACACTCGTAAAATATGTGGTTTGCTAATCGTATTCTTACTTCTCAACGAGCTTTAGTGACTCAATAGCAGAAAGAATATATATAATACTAAATATATTCCATACCTATGTATTCGTTTACACGTTTTACAGGGTATAATTTCGGTCGTGTATGCTTAATTTTGGTTATGAGTAGTAAATCCGGTTTTACATGATAAATCCGGATTCACATGACTCCGCGAATGTTGTGATTATTATTGTTAAGAGAGTGTTCCATCCCCAGGGCACACAATCTGCGCGCTGGGCGACGGCGCGGCGTGGCCGGTGCAGGGGCTCATCCGCCACTTCCGGCCCGAGCTGGAGCGCCGCATGCAGGCCTACGCCTGCGCCTACGGGCCCAGCCGCGCCGAGCGCCTCTACTAGCGCCGCGCACCACCACCACAACACCACCACTCTGCCGACGTGTTTTAGTCAATCAATAGCGCTCGCATGTCTTATGTTATATACCCTATGTAACCTTGCCTTCACACGAGTTTAATAAAGTTTCCTTGCGAGGTGTATGCGTCCGCGCATCCTTAATGTACGAGTAACGAAATCAAAATAATTTCTAATAATGTGACACTAGATGATATTCATTTTTAAATATTTTTACTTTTTTTTTTGTTCTTTAAACGACTTACATCTGGAATTAAAAACGTTTACATAATTTATTTTTAATTTCTCGAAGTGAAATTATTTTTAGTTGTACATAATCTATGCGTAAATCGACTTGTGTCTGTGTAATCTGTGACACGTACCGACGCATGTGACGCGTTCGCTTACGGGTGATGACCTATTTTATAGTTAATTTTGTAAAATATTGTAACTAGTAAATAAAATTGCGGATATTTAATTTAATTTCTTTGTTTAGTAAACATTACAGTCCTTTGTACTGTACACTATTTTGAGTTGCCCTTGAAAAGTTGGGCATCCCTTTTATCCCAATATTCAAGAATCCGAACCCTTTTTAACGTTATAGAGAGTCATCATGAATCGAAGGCTGGTGCTCCATGCGTGCATCGATGGAGTAAGTGATTCGAAAGATATTGCGAATATCTTTATGAATCACTTTAGTGTAAAATCGCCGTTGGGACCGTCGTCGTGTGTGCTCATTTTGAGGCTAGAATGGAGCTGGAAATAAAGTTCAGTGCTAAGGATGTTGAAAAACAAAATCATCGATGTCTAGAGGGAAGTCATCCGGCCATGATGGCTTCAGTATTGAGCACCTGCGGTACGCGGGTCCACATCTACCCAGGACACTGTCCTTGTTGTTTGCGTTGTGCATGAGTCATGCATATCTACCTGTCGGGATGGTGATTGTACCAGTAGTTTAAAAAAAAACTGGCGATTTAGGCGATAAAAATAACTATAGGCCTATATCATAGGCGACAATTATATCAAAGGTATTTGACGGTCTGCTTAACATAGCGAAATAAATATACAGGGTTACTGGGTACGTCGACTTAAATACTTTAAGGGGTTGTAGTTTCCATCATTTCTGATAGATTTCACCATGAAATACCATATCCAGAAACCTAACCATTTTCAAGATATTGAACTTTGAAGATTTTTATAGAAGTTGCCGAAATTTTGCCAATTTTTTTTACAAATAAAACATATATCCTTTATTTTGTTTTTTTTTTTACTATTTTTGTATATTTGATACATTGTTTTATATTGTCATTACTAAAATACTAGTTAACGGACTGGGCCGAAGTAGATGGTTAAAACGAAAAAAAAAATTAAATTCTTTTTTTCTTTGACGAATATTAAAAAAAAAACTATGACAGTTAAACTACTGTCATATTAAAAACATGTATGTATTGTCAGCTATCTAACAAGGCATAACAGTCGAGGATAGTATCAAAATTCATAGAAACAAACAGATGAAAGACCGGAAGTATTTAGAATTAGAGTACGACGACGCGGTAGTCCCTAGTTGAAAACGGCTTGTATTTTTGGACTCTTCCGTTTTCTATTCATGTCTAACTATTGCTAAGTGAACTTCTGATACTGCTGGAGATTACGACCTATACGAACGAGTGTGTTCCGGACAAGCAAATATAGCAGACGTTTACATACTTTTATTAAAAATATAAGGCAATAATTAAAAAAAAAACGCCTCCAGCCCTACTGCTCAACCACTAGAGTATTGAGACTTAGTTGATTCCCGACTGCTCAACGAATATCAAATTAACTGGGGAACAAGCACGCACCAATAAGCAGGTAAATACGTCGCAAATGCTTGCCGCAAGCTTACTTTGATATGTGTTAAAAATCGATACTAGTCCCGATCGATGATAAGCTCACGCAAGCCGAGCCAAGCACACCGTTTTTTTTTTCATTTATTGTTTACAAAGACAAAAAATACAGTGGCTTATACAATAATAGCAACTAAAAACCAACAAGGTTTATACCTGTGCTATCTCCAGTCTGTCTATGTTATTTATATATAAATCAAAACTATAAGAATAACAAATAGAAAAGGATTACAATCTACCAGCAACACAAAAGAAAAAATAATCTTACACTAACTAATTTTCACTTAACATAAATACACACTTTTGTTTGTGGACGCTTGTCAAGGCTTGCCAGGCCTATTATACAGATATCCTAAAACAGAGTTTACATTGTATTTTTAGTTAATCCTTTCATTTACGATCAAGTCTCAGATGCATATTATCGCGTCGGATCACAATTTTAAAGTGTAAACAATGAATAAAAAGTAAATACAGTCAATAGAAAATGAAGATTACTTATTTGTTTTATGCCTTAAATCTTATCCAACTAGATACCTTTTTATTAAATTAAATTCCAAAGACATACTGTGTATATACTTGTAATGTGTGTTTAAAACAAGTGTCCCATTTTCATGGACACTCTGTATAACAAAGTCTAGTTATTTAATCATCATCATCATCAACAACCTATAGTAGTCCACTGCTAGACATAGGACTCTTCTTATAAAGGAGGTTTTGGCCTACTATATCACGCTGGCCAGACGGGTTGGTATAGGGTTTGTATCAAGTTATCCAGAAGGCGATAACTACCTGGACCCCCCTCCCTAAAATAGAAGCGCAAAGAGGGCACACCGTGTGGTTTCCAAACGTAAAAAAAAAAAGGGTTTGTATCAAGTTTTCCTTCCCTTTACAGTGCCGTTGTCCTGCATAGTGTGAAAAAAGAATAAAAAAGGATATCGATTTAAGAAATCGGTTGATTTAGGAATTTGATGGTAAGTAGCTATTCAAATGTAGCTTTAAAATGTTGGAATGTTGATCCTAATTATAATCTCACGTAGGTATTATTACTAGAAGGTAGGTAAATTGGGTAAATTGATTATCAATAACATCCATCCATTGTTACGATCCACGAATTTACTTGGTAAAATACGCAGTTATTTACGATACGTCGACGACTTATCGAGTCATCAAGGCCTTTAACAGTTCACTGTAGGACATTGCCACTCCTTAGTCAGGAGGTTTTGGCCTACTACGCTGGCCAGACTAGTTGGTATAGGGTTTGTATCAAGTTTTTCTAGTTTCATGTAGTCAAAGACGAGAGAGGCGTGAGGGTCATTATATTAGTAGTGTCTTATTTATAGATGAAATTGATAGGTAATTTGCTGGGGCATCTGAAGCTGAGTAGGCGAATATGCGCCCATCGAATCCTACGTCGCCTGATAGTTAGTGTAGCGCCGCCCATGGACACATGTGACGCAAGAGACATGAGTGCGCTACGGCCCTTTAGGCGCCCCTGCTCAGAAAATTCTTAGAATTAGGGGGAGGAGTTTTCTCCGCTAACTTCGCTCACTCGTTGAAACCGTTGAAAGAAATGCTTAACACCGGTTTTCTAGGAGGCCGTGGCCTCACTCCGATCGTTTCGGTCCATATGTATAATAATAATATTTTCGGACATTGACACACAACGCCATCTAGTTTCCAACTAAGTAGAGCTTGTACAATGAAAGCTAGTTTGTCATACAATACTTTTATACTTTTTTTTGTAAATACATACATAAGTATTATACAAACCCTATACCAAACCGTCTGGTCAGCGTGGTATAGTATAGCCAAAACCTCCTTTCTAAGGAAAGGCCATGTCCAGCAGTGGACTTGTAAAGGCTGTTGATGTGATGGTGTGACATATTATACATAGAAAACACCCAAACTCCGATAAAAAAAATGTAGATCAGAAACATTTAGTCCGACTCGGGAATCGAACCCGAGACCTCAGCCCAGTAGTCGCATACGCTACCACTGCACCACCGAGGCAGTCACCTCGTACCATTATGTACCGAAGCATTAAAGCATGGATCCTACGGCAAATCAGGTGTATGAGTTTGGGGTGGAACGGTGCTCCCTATGACCCTTACGATTCAATGAATTGTAAGGGTCAGGTGAATGTATAGCGTGTGCAAAAAAAAGTAGGTAAAAGTTAAAGACTGGCAAAACAAAACATTAGGTTGAAAACAATATTATCTACGTTGACTTAATGAGATAAACCACCGATATACGTAGATAGTTGGCACGAGGCATTGATAAAAAATAGACGGTCATCTTTGAAATTTAAGCAAGTGGTAGTCAAATAGCAAAAATTACATGGTATAGAACATTTCATAGTCACTGGCTCCTAAAACAAGGTTATATAAGCATAGGGTAGAGGTAATGGAATTCTTAGCTATGTATATACATAAATACATACATATGAATCTACACAGTAAGAATAATATATTAACTCGAAACACCTCACACACGGCCTTTTGATCAAAAATTAGACAGAATTTATAATCTGGCAAGACCGTTCATCTAAATAGGTAGAGATTTATTATTTATTTATCGATAAATAAATAACACCCAGACACAATAAATGACGGTGCTCATCACACAACTATTGTTCTTAATCCTTGTTCTGGGTTGAAATCAAAACCATAACCTCGAGCTCAGCAGTTAGGGTTATTAACTACTATACTAACAGCCAGAATCTACAGTAAGAAATATAAAGCAGCAAGAGTTTTAGGACGAATGTTGAATGTATTAACTACCTACCGGTCATATTTCGCGAGTCATGACTGCAAATGTACACTGCAGACTGCAACGATAAAAGCTCTACCTAATGGCATTTACTCGCAGTACATAAACTCACTCCTCAGAGAACAACAGTAATGGCAAAGTATCAGTGTTGAATGTTCTGGTATCTCAGATATACACAAAAATATGCCTCCTGATCTTCTGGTATATTGTAATGATCCTATTTCATTTTGAGACACATCAAACCAACAATTGTCTTAATGGCCATGGCCATTATATGTCAAGCACGTATGGTCTTGTACAGACTCGATGAGGTTCTTAATTTTTCGTGTGTTACGCGATATCTTATCTTAAGAG